TGCCTCCTCCACCGCAAATGAGCAGGCACTCCACAGACAGAGGCGTCCACTGCGACAGCAGAGCCGACAGCCGACCGAACCGACAACGAGGCCGAAACCCGAAGGCCGACAGCGGCCTCCAGAGGCGTGGCGACACAGCAACCGATCGAACCGACGCGAGAGAACGTTGCCGACTACGACCCCAAGGAGACGTGATGAGGCATTTCACGCGAAGCTGGATTTCTTGCGGAAGTCCTGGAGATTTCTGTGTCTAATGTTTTTGAACGATTCTGGCATGCGCGCGCCTCGACGCGCGCGTGTGCACTTCGTCCACTTGTTTGTGCGGGGTCAGCGAAACGTGCGAAAATCTAATGACCGGGTGCGCGCGCATAATAATATTTGACTAAAAGGGGTTGGGGGTTGTCGAACCTAGTTTGGCTGGGATGCTATGAGTCCATACTTCGAATAAACGATGGGGCAGAATCGTGCATGAATTGGGCATTCGGGGACCGATGACCCTGGCCACGGGAGAGTGATACATCCGAATTTCTTTGTGGAAAAAAGAACCAATGTGGTAAAATCGATGCTTCGTTATTGATTTCAACAAACGAGTTGACACATTCCATGTTTTCAGAAAGCTTCCCACCCACCCACCCGCAACTTGGTTTGCAAAACCTATGCGGTGGCGATGGCGACGCATACTTGGCGTTGGCTGGTGCATCTCTGCGGCCGCGCGCGCAGCGGCCAGCCAGTGTGGCGCCACCGAAGCGGCCGCGGTGGTGCTTACCGCTGGTTGCAACCCAGCGGGCACTTCACTGCGAGTCGGCGACTCGGGCGGGCGCGGTATCATGACAACGCCGACTACGGTAGACACGATGATGATAGTACCGATGCTTGTGACGATGTTCGCACCCGAAGGCGCGACCAGTGCGGGTGCCGATGCTGGTCACGACGACGATGACGGCGTCCTCGCGTCGGTGATGAAGGTTTTGGAAAGAATTCGACATGCGCGCGCGGCCGACGCGCGAGAGTGGCCCGCATGGTTTTATTTGACACGGATCGTGCCCCCCCCAACACGCGCGCAAGGGCGTGCGAATGATGCCGGCATGCGGCGCCAGAGGCCCGTTGGGCAGAATACGAGACAAGAAACAATCAAACATCAATGGTTTTTTGAAGGATTCGCAAGAGCGCGCGCTCAAGCTTTTTTTCAAAACTGAGATTGCGATGCCAAGTGTTTTTGAATGCGTTTGGGGTATGCAGTCTCGAAGCCGCTACGAAATCAAAAGTTCGTTGAAGGACTCCGGTATGCGCGCGCGACGGCGCGCGCGTGCGCACTTCGTCATACGTTTTGCAACAAAGGGTTCTCGCGACGGGACGCGCGCAAGGGTTTTCGAACGATTTCGACATGCGCGTGCGCGAAGCCCGTTCGGTGATGTCCCTCTGGATTCGCAAAAGCGCGTACGTCCTTTTGAAAATCCGTGTTGCGAAACCATGTGCTCTTGTGTGTTTTGGACACTCGATTTTTTTATCCTTCCGAAACCAAGAATTGTTGAAGGATTTCAGCATGCGCGCGCGACGACGCGCGCCTGTGCACTTCGTCCCATGTGTTGCAATGGATGATTGGGAACGTGTGACTTGTTATAAACGAGTGCGCGCGGACCCAATGTAACTGGCAACACGAGAGGGTGCACTGAGAAAGCCGAAGGGGGTGGTGGTGGATCCTAACATTCTTGCCTGAAGAGGAGAATCTACGTTGTGCAGTCTAGGGGGGCCACCAGGGCAGCGACGGCGACCACGGAAACGCCAGACCGGCACAGAGGCCCAGACGACGGGCGGCGACGACGACGGCGACGGGACGGCGACGGAGACCACGGAGCCGCCAGACCGGCACCCGGGGCCCAGACGACGGGCGGCGACGGAGCGGCGACGGGGACCCCGGACCCGCCAGGCCGGCACCCACGCCCAGCTCCCTTAGACAAAGAAGTAAGAACCTCAGGGTGCAAGCACTGTCTGGGGAACATGGAAGTACTCGTGCCACTTCTTCTTCTCTTCGCTGCTGGCCCTCCTCCTGCTCATGCTACTCCTCCTTGCCAGCATGCTGCCACTTCTGCTGCTGCTGCTGCTGCTGCTGCTCTCCTCGCTGGTCTGCCTCCCTGCTGCTCCTCCTTCAGAAGGTCCACTGCTGCCAAGCGATGTGTCAGCGGAGAGCCGAGGGGGGTACCGACAAGCAGGTCGTAGGATTTCTGCAGGACGCCCCACCGGCGCTGCACCCACGCCTGCGTCGCCCCGGTGCTACTGCCCATTCTCCTCGCCCCTACCGCGACGGCTGGCTCGTTGCCCACTCCCCTCGGGGATCTACTGACCCGTGTCAATGCAAACCCGGGTCAGTCGAGCCTTGCAGGATCCTGCAGGATCCTGCACCTTGACCCGGGTCAGTGCAACCCTGGCCTGCAGGATCCTGCACGATCCGGCGCTGTGACTGACCCCCGTTTGCATTGACCCCTGTCTCCTGGGCCCCCGATCCCCCGTCGTCCTCCGCCTCCTCGGAGCAGGGAGGCTCACGGCGAACCGAAACAAGCAGAGGCCGCCGAGCTTCCTCCCGAGGGCGTGCCGCTGGACCCGTGCCGCCCAGCGACTGCTGCCGCTTCTCCGCCTGCTCCTCTGCCTGCTGCTGCTCCTCGTTCTCCCTCCTCCTGCCCGCGTTCTGCACCACCTTCATTCTCCTCCTACCCTCGTGTCCTTCCACCTCCTTCCTCCTCCTCTTCATCGGACATCCCCCTCCTCCCAACCCTCTCCTCCCTGAACTCTTTAATCCGCTGCCTCATTTTCATGCAGATTCCTACCCGTTCTCCCTCCTCCCCTTCATCCCCCCACCACATTTTCTTCCTCTTCCACCTCCCCCTCCCCTGCTACGTAGCCTACCGCCCACCGCCCACCTCAATCCCTACCCCTTCCCTCCTCGCCCCCCCCTCCCTCCCCTTACCTTCTCGCCTCCCTATCTCCTCATCCCCCCTCGTCCTCGGACTCATCCCTCCGCCCTCCCGCCCCTCGGAAGGACAATGTTCGGGGGGACGGGCCCAGAGCTGGAATCGGCGATGAAGCGCGATACATCGGCGACATGCCCCCGATCGTGGCGCCACACGGTCCTGGGCGGGATGGGCCGTCGGGCCCCTCTCGGCGATGAGTGTGCGGTTGGGGGTCGACGCCTCCCTCCTTGAGCCTGAGGCCCTCCTTCTCGGCGGCCGAGGGCAGAGTGCGAGGAAGATCCCCGGGGCGAACACAAGCTGCTCCCCCTCTTCACCGCTGCCCTCGCCTCGTCGCCACCGCTGGACTTGCCTGGAAATCACGGTCAGAACGCGCCCCGGGAGAGGCCCAGGGAGTAGCGGAATCGGCACCTGTTGGTTTCCCCATCTTCTCCTGTCTGCCCAAGAGGGCCGCCCCATCTGTCCCCTGAGCCCAACATTAAGTCGGACCTGTCCCTTTTACAGGAGGAATATTCAAAAACGGTAAACAACAAATATGGGGACGATTTGTTTATTTTTGTTTATGTTTGAATATGTGTTGAATGCTTCCAATTTCTTCCGTCCAAAATCCGCCTGTAGGGGGACATGCCCGACCTGAGCCCAACAACTCCCTAACTCCCCCCCCCGCGCGGAGGGGAGGAGGCAGACGAGGAAGGGGGGAGGGGAGGGCGGGCGAGGGGGCCAGCACGTGCCATGAAAAGCGGGACCATCGGGGGGCGAGGAAAACAGCCCGCAGGGCAACCTCTGGCAGGCTGGCCCCCCCTCTCTCTGATTTGACGACCGGGTTCGGAGGGGAGCGAGCAAGGGCCCAGGAGCTCGAGGCAGGGGCCATTCGGACCGATCAGCTCAGCGCAAGCTTGGGATCAGGCCAGACTGAGCGAGGAGGAGGCAACCGGTGAGTGGGAATCGACCCCCCCCCCCCCCGGAATCGGGCAAGTTTTCGACCAAGGATCTACCGGCGCTCAGCCTCACCTCCCACGATCTGCATCATGGCCATGCGCCCGGGGTGGGCGGGCCCCGCGGCGGCTCCTGGCGCTGTCGACTGCACCGCGCCCCAGACGTCCGGCACCCCAGAGGAATGAACCCCTCACAGCCAGCCGCCCGTATAGTAAGGACACGCGATAAGGATGTGAGGGCCGTGGAAGGCCTTATCGACACTTTGCGGTGGGGGCGCGGCCAGCAGAAGTGGCCAAGGGTAGACCTTGGATGCAAGGGTACCTTCGGGAAGGTTCCCCATCCTTCCATGCGGGTTGACTGCACTCGGGAATGGCTTCTGATCCTGAGTAGGCTTTCGAAGGTCCCACGTCCCCGTGAGGGCCCCCAGAGCCTACAAACGCCCACACACTGTGCGTCGTGTCTTCTTGTTTCTCTAAGACGCGTGGAGGAATTGTTCTTCTGCGGCCAGTCGGGCCGATCCCTGCACTCCCAGAACGTCTTCGGCGAGGCGCAGCTGCTGAGGCGAGGGAGCCACCAGGGACAGACGACCGAAAATCTAGAACTCGAGGGCCCGGCCGAACACAGGCAAGAACCTCCCGCCGTGATTTCTTCACGGCGCGAAGATGCACGGGAAAACCCCAGGGTACCGATCACGCTACTCCCCCCGGACCTCTCCAGGGGTGCGCTCTGACCATCATTCCGGGGCGGATCCGGCGGTGGCGACGAGGCCCTCACAGGGAGGCCCAGAGAGACGAGCACGAGGGGAAGGCAGCGGTGTGGTGTGCCTCTTCCCTCTCTGAGGGCAGCCGCCGCTGGAGCCCAGGGCTCGCCTCGCGGTCGCGAGCGCCGGCCCGCAGCAGCTGCGGCCAGGGCTCCGACGCGAAGCAGGTGTAGCGCTGCAGCGCCTCGTGCGGGCTCACCTCGGCGGCCCGCGCAGGCAGCTCGGGCCGCGCCTCGCGCCTCGCGCGACGCTCGAAGAGCTTCGCGCGCTCTCGCGCCGCTCCGCCGACGAAAATGACGAATCGCGGGACCGCGATCCGCGATCCTCGAAGAACTCCGCGCCCTCGTGGCGGCCCCTGGGGAGGAGGGCGGAGCACGACTTCAGGGATACGCACGACTCGGCCCTCTACCGCAGCGCCAATCAAGCGGTCGCCGGGCAGACTGGTCACTTCACACGGGCGGAGCAGGAGGCGGCAGTCCTCTGCACGGGCAGGATCGGGATCCAGCGGTTTCGGGTCTTTGTTATCTGCATTGTCTTTGTCACCATGATTGCAGCTGGTCCTCATTGGTTACCCCGTCTCGTCCCCCATGGGGCACATCCTCCGAACACCGAAACACGTCTGAACCCACTTCGGACCTCCGAACGCCTCCGATCACCTCGTCCGAACGCCACCGCCTTCAGCGTTGGCGACGAAGACCACGACGACCACCACAACGATGATGACAACGACCACGACGACACCCCGCCAAATTTGCACGCCAGGAGGGATCAAGCTTTGCAGGTCGTGAGTGCGAGTTGAGGGATAGTCCCCAGGCTCGAAACGACCGCCTGGAACCGCGGGACATGCAGCTAACTGCACCGTCTTGAGCGTGCTGTACCTGGAGACGGCGTCCACTCCTAATCTCCCGATAAGGGGGACAATGATCGAGATGCTGATGCTGATTATGATGGTGATGATGCTGCTGCTGATGATGATTATGATGATGATGATGATGATGATGATGATGATGATGATGATGACGATGATGATGATGATGATGAGGGGGATCATGGAAAGGAGGATGAGAACGAGGATGAGGATGAGGATGAGGGGGAGGAGAAGGAGGAGGAGGATGAGGAGGAGGAGGGAGGAGGAGGACCAATCCCAAAACGACTGCCTGTGGCCGCATTTAGGTCGTCGTCATCGTCGTCGTCGTCGTTCGTGTTCGTCGTCGTCGTCGTCGAGGATCGAGAGGATTGAAACACTCGACGTGGTCGGCCCAGCCCGAGCCTCCACGGGCTTCCCGGGGCCCCGTCCAGCGACCCTCGCGAGGACTCCGTGGGGAGCTTGGGATCGTCGTCTTCAATGCGGTCACAAGGGGTCATTAGGGGATCGGCCCTCCTCCTCCTCCTTTCCCTCCTCCTTTCCCTCCTCCTTTCCCTCCTCTCCTTCTCCACGTGGCGCGACACGTTAGCAATCGTCGCTCCAGTCCGCAGGCCCAGTGCCCAGCAGACATCCGAAGATGCTTTTTCTGTTCGATCCGTGGACCCAGAACTCCCGACCCCTTCCCATTGTCGCTCATGGACCGACCGTCCCGGCACTCGCATAGGCCTACCACGAAGTGTTCTCAGAACCGAGCAATGTTCTCTCGTCCTCTTCCCGTCTCCGATTCCCCTTTTCCCCTTTCTCCCCCCCCCTTCTCTTCATCTAGATTCTCCCACTCCTCCTCCTCCTCCTCCTCCTCCTCCTCATCATCATCATCCTCCTCCTCCTCCTCCTCCTCCTCCTCCTCCTCCTCCTGCTCCCCCTCCAGTGGGTGTCAGGCGGCTGACTGGCCACTCTGGCGGTCTCAGGGTGCGCCGCCGGGATCGGCCGGCCGTTCCGGCCGCGCCGGCGGGGCCCCAGGCATCCGACGTAAGACCTTTTCGTTTCAGTACGTGCACGGCCTCACAGGCACCAAGCCCTTGCCGATGGGGCAGCTACCGTCGGGAACTTTTGCTTCGCGTGCCGCGGCGAAAGCCCCAGCGACACGCTATGCCTTGCAAGCGGATGGCGTGTCGCTCTGATCCGCGGGCCGCTGGGCTAGGAAACGCTAAGAATGCTGACGCCCGGGGACAGGGGCACGGACAGCGTGTCGCGCCGAAGCGTGGTGGGCCAAAACCTGCGCCGCGACACGCTAAGCCAAAATTCCTGACTCTGTCCTGTATCCAATGTTGATTGCCCTGGGGCCCGATCACGGCACCCCCGGATTGAAAAATCATGTTGTCGGAAACCTGGGTGGTAGCTTCGGGTTGCGCACAGAGACCCCCCCCAGATGGTCCCGGCTGGTCTCAACAGGGCCCCCGGATAGTGCAGGCTGGGCTCAACAGGTCCCTCGAGTAGTCCGGGGCGGTCTCAGCACCCTGGAGCCGCCTCCGGCGGCGCCCCAGAAGCGCTCCAGTTTAGGTGTTGAGACCGCCCTGGACTACTTGGGGGGGCCTGTTGAGGCCAGCATGGACAATTCGACGGGCCAGTTGAGGCCAGCCAGGACTACCTCGGGGGGTTGTCTATGCTCAACCCGCAGCCCATGAGACCCTGTGTGTTGATCCTGGGATTTTCCGTTCCATCCTAAATCTTTTTCGTGGACGGTCCGGGGGCCCGGCCAGGGCCTCTAGAGGCCGAACATAACGAGACATCTTCGTCTTGATGTTGTCGTGGCGTTGGATCTCTGGGCTGCTAAGCCGCAAGCCTCGGTCCCCCCTTGCCTCAGGCCCGGACCCCCTCGGCGCGGGCCCGGGACACCGCCTCCGCCACGGCCAGCGCGGCGAGCAGGAAGGTGTCGCAGTGCGCCGCCGCGTGCTCGGCGAACGCGCTCCAGCACACTCCAGAGGGGGGGGGAGGACGAGGCTCGTGGTGCGAGGGGTGCGAGGGGGGAGGAGGAGGAGGAGGAGGAGGAGGAGGAGGAGGAGGAGGAGGAGGAGGAGGAGGAGGAGGAGGAGGAGGAGGAAGAGGAGGAGGAGGAGGAGCAGGAGGAGCAGGAGGAGCAGGAGGAGCAGGAGGAGCAGGAGGAGGAGGATGAAGAGAAGGAGGACAAAGCGCGGCGGCGGACCGATATCGGGAATAATGTCTCGTCTCTAAGACCACACAGCTGAAACCCGAGATCATATTACGCTATGTGCGACCATTCGTGCGCGTAAGCGCGAGTCATAAATGGACGGCCTCCAGTGAGGAGACCCGAGTGTTAATCGCTCAGCCCAGGCGAGGTGAGCGAAGCTCAGAGCCAGTGCGGACAATATCGAGCAAGACGTCCTGACTGCGAAGTGAACGCCTAGAGTTGTCACGCAGGCGGCAGAAGCGAGGGTCACCGCCGCAAAGCACAGCACAGAGAGAGACGCAGCGGAGCGGGGGAGGCACGGGGCAGGCGAGGATTATGTTGATCACACCGTACTTGAGAGCCACATCTCAAAAATAATTCCGAGCACCCAGAACAGTGCCGAAACAGTGCGGAGGCAGTGCCGCCTCCCAGGGCCCGGCACTAAAAAAACAAAGTGTCGGTACTTTCTTGGTGTTCGAACTTCTTGTTGGTGGCCGAGGCTAGAGTAGGCTGCAACCTTGTAAGGCGAAGAAAGGAGGCGAGAGGGAGTTGCGATGACAGAGGGCACGCAAAAGGTTGCAACTCTTGAGGCCTCGCATCGAAGCACACCGCCACGGAGCGAGGCGAAGCGGGGGAGGCACGGGGCCGGCGAGGAGGAGGGAAGGCCGAAGAGCGAGAGGGCATCAGAGGCAGTCGTTCAGCATCTGCCTATCTCGCTGCCCAGGAAGGGTGATCGAGGGCCCGATCGGGGAGCCTCTCGGCGCTGCTCTCCCCTGGTTGTCCTGCGCCCCTGTGGGAGGTTTTCTCCCTTCCTTGCCTTTTTAAGGCCCAGACATTCGCATTCGCATTCGCTGCCTCTCTCGCTGTCGCAATCCCTGGTGGGGCGGTACGAGGCGGGGCCGCACCTGAGGCACCAAGTCCACCGACACGGCTGTTACCAAGCGACGCGCATGGCACGGCGGTCACGAATCCAGCACTCCAACTCACATCCGAACGTAAGGACCTCCAAGCACCCGTCGCAGTCACCATATCTCGACAGGGGGCGAGACAAGGTCACAGCAACTCACGAGGCTGTGGCTGTCGTTTTTGGTCGCCCTGTGGACGGCGCAGCCGTCAACAGTGGGATAGCTCGCACCAGCCCGTCGCCAGCACGCAACCATACGGCGTCATCGAGCCCATCCCGTGCGATTGGCTCCTGCGACACCACCGCGATCCTCTCGACGCTGGGCTCCTCCCGAATGGGTTCACGAACTGTTGCACCGCGAACGAGCGCAATACCAAGTTCACAACAAGGTGCATGAACAGCGTCGTCTCGAACAGCCTGATGAACAAGTTCACGAAAATGGTCACGAACACTCAAACGACATCATCACGAACAAGCTAACGAACGGCAACATCCCGAACAGGTTCACAAACGGGCTCACCACGAACAGGAATCTCAACACGTAGATCACCAGCTGGGTCCACCCCAAGATCATCATGTCCACCGCGAACATGTACCAGGCTCCACTCACGGATCCCCAGGCTGCAAACAACAAGCAACACCCTCAGCACCATGACTCAAATCATCGACAGGTACCTAAACAGCTCCTGAATCGCTGAGAGGTGCACCAACGGCTACCTCACGACCGAGCGAAATACCAGATGCACGATCAGGTGCAGGAACAACGTCATCTCGAACAGTCTCTTTATTAACGTGCTCTCGAGCATGCTCTCGACCATGCACACAACCAGGTACATGAACGGCTTCATCCCGAACATGTGCGCGAACGACAATACCACGAACAATTTAATGAACGGCCCAACGATGAAGGCCGCCAGTATGCTGAGGACTACCCTCACCAGGTTCACAATTACGAACACCATGGGGCTCGACAAGAGGATCACCGGGCGCCACGCGATCGCAAGGCTGAGCACGGCCACCATGGTCACGAGCAGGCTCCCGAACAGGCTCACGACCAGGTGCGCAATCTGCTTCATCACGAACATATTCACGGTCGGCGGCATCACGCACTGGTTCATGAACAGACAGCGCGAGCCCTGGCGGCGTCGGCAAGGCGGCGCGTAGGCTGGCCAACTTGAGATGCAGTGCAATCCGTTGCCTGCGGCGACATCTCCGCCTCGGGGCCGTAAGCCGTTGGCCTGCAGCGGATGTGGCAGCCACAACAGCATCGGCGCAGGAGGATCGGAAGGGAGACGGCATGATTCGGTATCGAAAGATGGACGGAAACCTTGCAGCCCGTGGGGACCGTCCGTATATGCGAGAATATCATCGCAAGCCAGCCCCAAGCTCTGGCGCTCCTTGAACAGGGAGCCAGGAGGAGAAGGACAGGGAGGTCTGGAGGTTTGGAAGAATCTCCTCCGCATCCGCCTCTCCTCCTCCTCCTTCTCCTCCTCCTTCTCCTCTTCCTTCTCCTCCTCCTTCTCCTCCTCCTCCTCCTCTTTCTCCTTCTCCTCCTCTTCCGCCTCAGAGCGGCCAGCCAAAGGTTCTCCCGATCCTCTATCTCCATCCGTCTCTCTCCCACTCCCCTCCTCTCTTCCTCCCTCCTCCTCCTCCTGCTCCTTTTCCTTATCCCTTCCTCCCTCCCTCCTTCCCTACAGCCTCCGCTTCCTCCTGCTCTATCCTCTCTCCCCCTATTCCCACACTACCACTTCTTCTCACCCCCCCCTCGTCCTCATCCTCCTGCCATCCTCCCTCCTGCCTCTCCCCCCTCTTTTCTTCACCGATCGTGGACAGGGAGCAGGAAGGCGAGGGAGAGGAGGAAGAGGACGTGGTGAAGTATAAGCATGCATACACCAACATATTCACAAGATAAGAAATCTGAAGACACTATACAAGCATATACATGAACATGCACACTTACACATCGGGTGGCGTTCGCACATACATAAACATGGAGAGAGAGAGGAAAATATGAGACATGAATAGAGAGAGAGAGAGAACAAAACAAAGATGGAGAGGTAGAGAACGAGAGAGAGAGAGAGAGAGTGAGCGAGAGCGAAAGAGAGGGTGGGACACATGCAACTGTCCATCGGACGTGAAAAAGGTTGCGAACGCAATGTCACGGAAAACCCCAGCAGGGAATCGGATTCGGTCTCGTGTCGTGCAAGCGGGCGAGGCGAACAGGCGCGGGCGGGCGAGAGGCATCGGGCCCTGTATGGCTAGGGCGCCGCCGGGGCAGAAGTCTGCCCCCCCCAGTTGGCAGGCGGGTGCCGGTGATGTCCCGCCGTGGTGTCCCGCGGGTGGCCCGTGGTGTCCCGTGGCGCGGTGTTCTGTGGTGTCCCGAATTGTCCCGTGAGGTCGATAGTGTTATCGATCGTGACACCGATGGTGGGAGCGATAGTGAAATCGAAATTGAGATCGATAGTGGAATTGATCGTGAGATCGACTGTGAGATAGATAGTGACATCGACAATGATGACGACAGTGCGATCGATTGTGAGATCGATTGTGAGGTCGTTCGTGAGATCGACAATGCTAGGGATACTGAGGTCGACTGTGAGATCGATACTGATATTGGTTGAAGTACTATGAAAAATCGATTGAATGGGATCGATGGTGGGACCGGCTGAATGAGATCGACTGTGAGATCGGACGTGAGATCGATTGAATGCGACTTTGGTTCCCCCCCGAACCTCCTTATCATCCGATGGGTGGTCGTATCGGAAGTTGGGGGGTGAGATCGCAATGGGGCAGGGAGCGCCACACGGGGAATTCGGTTTCGGTTCTGTGTTGGCGTCGCGCGTGCGGGCGAGCCGAAGCTGCGCAGGCGCGCGCAAAGAATGATACCGCCGTGGCAATGGACCGTGGAACCGTTTGACCGCCCCACCCGCCCGCGCCGTTGCCTGGGGTGCCCCGTCGGTGGCGGCGGGGGTGCCCCGTCGCTGGCGCGGGCTGTCCCGACGGTGGCTCTGGGTGTCCCGCCGTGGCGTTTCGATGGTAGCTCGTGAGGTCAGTTGTGCAAGAAATCGTGAGATCGATCGTGGGATCGATTGAGTGGTCGATCGTGATCGTGAGATCGATCGTGAGATCCAGAGATCGGTAGTAACATCGATAGTGGCATCGATCATGTGTTTCCCGTTTCAACCGTTTAATGCTGTCCAACATACAGGTAAGGCGACACTTGCTGTTGGCCGCTGGTTTGGGGCAGCACGAGTGCCTGAGAGAGATGGGGCGCTTTGAGCGCCCACAAGACCTCAGAGGGTGTCCCGCTTAGGCGTTGCACAGGGGACGGCCACGGGAAGGGCGCGATGCCGCCTCCGAGGCAAGAGAGGCCAAGCCCCAAGCGCAGCCGAGCTGCACGGGGCAAGCCTGGAATAATATCAGACCAGAACCAATGTCGGGACATAGCCCTGTGGCACTAGCTTGAACTGTCTGAAACCACCCCCCACTTGCCCGCCCCCACCGCCAGAGGACAGACAAACCGAGGACGCAGGGGCAGGCAGAGGGGGAGGGCCAGAGGATGGGGACGCCGCCCCCGCACCAACGCCCCTCCTGGCCAACCCCGAACGCACGAGCAAGGCGGACTGAGCCGCGGCGCGTTTCCCCTCCGCCTCGGAGGGCAAGTCGCTGTATGAAACTCGGGGAATGTAGGCAGGAGGGGCCGACGGGTCTCCTGCGAACGGGGAATCGACGGTGACCTTCGGCCTTTTGGGATGCCCGCCTGCGAAAATCATGGGCCAAACACGCCTGCCGAACCTGGGCGGGGGAGGGGAACATTGGGCCTTGAGGCCAACGCTCCGTCCATGGGAACCGTAGGCCTTGCAGCCGGCACCAACCATGAAGCC